CCACCTGGTATCTCAAGCCCATTTCCCTTCAGTTGTGAGTTCAAAGAGCAATCTAGGCACTTTCAGTTTGGGTAGAGAATGTGTAGCCTTGGTGTATACATTCAGCGCTCAACCCCAAGGGGCAGTCTCTGTCTCTGACCCTCTCCCCAACCTTTCTCTATGTTTACGAGTCAGACTTTGCTGTTCTCACTGCTGGCTCTGTGCTCAGGGATCTTTCCTGGTGGTTTTTGGGAGGAACTTATGTGGTGCTGGGGATCAAACCTTGCTGTATACAGTGCAGTGCCTCACACACTCTCTCTCCAGTTCCGGCTGACCTGACACTTGGCATTTTCCTCCTGTGCCACAGACTGACTGCTCAGAGGCACCCTGGAGGTCAAGAACCTTGATCTGTTCATGCTGGAAAATTTAGATCATATCTTTGTTCAGCCTATGTTCAGCCTTTCAATGGGAATTTAATCAATATTTTGGGGATAAAGAAGCTTCTTGGAAATCTGTTTTTTTTTAATTCTTTTTGCTCTGAACCTCATTAGATAGTTTGGGTTTATTATAGAAGAGTCTAACGTATCACTTGTCTTTGGAGAACACTTTTCCCACAGTTCCTTTCCCAAACTGGATCTTTCTTAGAGGCCTCTTAGCCCAAAATGCATCATCTAAAGGGAAGCATCTATCTCTGAGTGCATTTTCCAACCTCTTAAAATGATGGCAGTTACGGCGGATGCTCAGAGACCCCCGTCTACCTGATTTAGAAGGACGATAAGATCAGGAAATCAGGAGAAAGACCAGCTTCAATCTCTAAACTCCCCATGAGTCACTGGTCCTCTATGTCCCCATCCCCTGTACTTTGAAGGCCTAGTTTCAGGAGGTACCTTTCTTGCTCCTCAGTCCTGCTTTCAAGGGGATAAATCAGAGTTTTTAAGTAAGAAATTATGCCTCTGAAATACTGCAAAAATAATGTGTGGATGTGTGTGGGACAGCAGTAGTCTTGGATACCACTGGTGGTGGTGGGTGGGGAGGTGTTTTCTGTTTGCTTAAATAGGGTAGATTTCTAGAAGGCAGGAGTAAATGAATTTTTTTGAGAAGGGCACATAGGCCAAATGAGTTAGGGAAACTCAGGGCTAGAAAAGTGGCCCATGCCATAATTCAGTTGTACTGAGGCCCATCTCTGGGACACCATGGTTGCCCTTCCATCGTTTAACCACAAAACTCCTCTGAGCTGCAAACCAGTTCCAAAGCACACACAGTGCATGCCCTCCACCCTGCCGGCCCTCCTGCATGCACCCCCAAGGCACTCAGGGGCTCAGCTCCAGGCCTTCCTTTTCCAGGTCTGGGATTGCTTCCATGTCTTCTCTCAATTTTTCACTCTCATGCTTCTAAGCGTGGCAACAGCTTTCCAAAGCACAGCCAACTGCATGCTTGGCGGGTTTTCTCAATCCCAATCAAGGTTAACACTGCCAGTGGAAATATCTAAACCCTAGTGGTTGGCCTCTTTAGAACCGGATTTCTCCCAGGCACATATTTCCTTTCCTGGTAAACACATGCTGTCTGTTTCAGAGTCTCCGATAATGACTCTGCTGTGTGACACAGACTCCGAACACAGACTGATGGAACAGGGTTCAGTTATACTGGTGAGACCTGAGAGTGAGGAAAAGGGCGTGTGCAAACTAAAGTCAGCTGGCAGTTTTCAGACTGTCTTACAGTGAGGACTGTGTTTGGGAAAGGAGGTATAATAGACTTTTTACAATCGTGACGTAGAACCAATATTTGATACTAGCTTTGAGCACTGAGGAATCAAGTTGCTTGTCCTCCTAAGTTTGCAAGTTGTCTGTCTTTTTCTTTCCCTCCCTCCCTTCCTTCTTTCACCGTGATTTACAATGCTATTAATAATATTTCATAATATATACATTTATATGTAATAGAAATGTTTATAATTTGCTTATATATTTCATAATAATGGTTTAATAATAATTGATAATAGAAAATGTACTGACTTGACACCAATCAGCAGTGTTAGTGTCAGTATCTTGCCACCAATGTCTCAAGGTCCCTCCCACACCCACACCAACCCCCTCATCCCTGGTAAACTCAGTTCTGTCCATGGACTCTCAGGGTCTGTTTCCATTGGCCATTTGTTGTTCCTTACTATGTTTCTTTATATCTCCAAATAGTAGAGGATCATTCTGTATCTGTCTCCCTCTGACTCACTTCACTCAGCATGATACCCTCTAGTTCCATCCAGGCAACAGTGAACTGCATCATTTCATCTTTTATTATAGTTGAACTGGAGCGATAGCACAGTGGTAGGTCGTTTGCCTTGCACACAGCCAGCCCGTCTGAGCCGGGTTTGATTCCTCTGCCTCTCTTGAAGAGCCCGGCAAGCTACCGAGAATATATTCAAATACAGTAACAACAAGTCTCAAAATGGAGATGTTACTGGGCCCGCTCGAGCAAATCGATGAACAATGGGAGGATAGTGACAGTGACATTATTCTACCATGTATATTGTGTGTAAAAATTATCATTGCAGATTGCAATATTGACTGGGAGGGTAAGTTGGAGACTGGCTTTAAACATGGTTTTTCTCTCATTCTGGTATAGGATTTCTGAACTCCAGAGGAAAAGGTTAAAAGATTCTCCTATGGGCAGCATCTGGTGGGAAGTAGAGATGAGAAAGAGAAGAGTGAGTGGGCCCTGTGGATAGCAATGGCTTATAAATAGGAAGTTGGAAGAAATAATACTCATTTTAAAGTTTTTCCTTTGTTGTAATTTACTCTTATTAACCTCAAGCTTTTAACCAATATTTGTAAAGAGATCTTTACTGTGATTTAGAAGATTCATGGATGAGGTTATGGCCTTGTGGGGGTATTTTATGGTAGTTTAGTGGTTGCCTGGGCAAAGCTGATTGATAGAAACTGCCAAGAATAGTTCAGCAAGGTGACTGAACAAAGAGCACAAAGCCGCCAGGACTTCGAGAGTATTAGTTAGAAGTAATCTCAGTAGTAATCAGGGTAGAAAACCTGAATATCCTGCATATAATCGGGCCAGAGGTTGTATACTACAGATATTAAGTGAAATGATGGCCTTTGATGAAAGGAGAATTGGGAGCATTTGGATGACACATAGAAATTAAAACTGTTTAGAGGAACACAGTGACATTTCTTATTCCTGTCGAATCCACTGGCTTTATTTCCATTCCGCTACACAACTTCTCTAACTCCTATGATGTTTCCACAAACCACCTGACATTCTGAATGAAGGAGACAGTCTAAACTTTTCAGTGATGTTTAGACTGACACTATTTTTCCTGTAAGTCATGCAAAAAAAAAAAAACCAGGAAATCCTGCCAACTTCCAATTAATATACATGTCACGTCTGTATATTAATTGTATATATTATGGTAACATAATTTATTCAGTCATTATTAAATATATAAAGGTAACAAAGAAATATAAAAGTAATCTGGTGGCTCTGTGTGAACTGTCAGGTTTCCTTCCTTTAACCCAAATGATTTTATTACCACCTGTTCCCTGTGGAGGTGAAGCTGAATGATCAGCCCCAAGGACAGTTCATACAGGCTTATTGTCCAAGATGTTCAGATCAGGATTTTCCCAAACATGTTACCTTGGCATGTGGCACCAAGGCTTATCATGCATGGTACCACAGACTTTTATAAAAGTTGTTACTATGACTGTAAAGAATTATGGACCTCATCCACTCACAAGGTTATCTTTAGAATTTTCTGTCCTATGGTGGGCCAATCTTTAGAGACGTGACTTTGTCCTGAGTCACCCTCTCAATATGTGAGCCCTCTGTCTCCTTGATGGCCCAAGTCTCTACCCCATTCATTACTGCAACAATCAAATTCCAGGCTGGAGAAATAATACAGGCGAAGGAGTCTGCCATGCTTGCAACGGATCCCAGCTTCCTCTTCAGCATCAAATGGTTCCTCAATTATCTCAGTGGAGGACTGGAGGTTCCTGCCCACCACTGGGGTGGCCTGGATGATCCTCACACCAGAGCACCATATCTTTCGGTCCTCACACTGAACCACGAACCAGGCCAAGATTCCCTGGGAGGAGCCCCAAGCCTCCAGAGATGGTTGGGAGACCTTTCTTCACTCCCTCGAAGAATAAAAATCCTTTCTCTCATTTACTGTGGTATTAAGAGTCATGGACTTTTCCCATACATGTGTAATTTGTTTTCTCCAATTAATCTATTTGATACTAATGCGTCTATAAAACCCAGCTCCTGGAAGAGAACAGCACAGAGTCTCCTGCCCCCGTGCCTGGCTGTCCTCGCCAGGGCCCCTTGGAGCGGGGCAGGTTGAATTTCTCTCCCCGCCCCAAGCAGAGCTCTGGCAGCCAAAGACCTACAGAACCAGCCACAACCATGCTGAGACCACTCTCCACACGCATGAAGGTACCGGCAGAGGAACAAAGGCATGCGGGTCCCAGGGCTGAGATCTCCGAGTCTGCTAGGATCATGACTGAGCATCCTCCACCCAGATCCTCCATCTTCCAGTAGGCAAGGGTCACACCCACCAACTGCCCCCCCCCGCCCCCGTGACATGTAATCCCATCAACGGCCAAGACCCAGAGACCCAGAGACTATAAAAACCAGCTCCAGGAAGCATCTTATTATCTCATTCTTACTTTGAACATCCTGGCAGGCTACCGAATGTAACCTGCCCACACGGCAGAGTCTGGCAAACTCCCCATGGCGTACCCAATATGCCAAATACCAGTAACAATGATGGGTCTCATTCTCCTAACCCTGAAAGAGCCTTGAATGTGGCACTTTTTAGAATCTCAGGGCTAGGACGAAGGAGACGTTACTGGTGCCTGCTCGAGGCAATCGAGGAACAACAGGATGATCGTGATAGTGATTATGATACTAATCCGTCTGCTCTACCAGCCCTGGTAGAACTTAGGGAATTTTCCTCTAGGGCCCTACATAGCTATGCTCTAAAAATATCCTACAACTGAAACCAACCAAAAACTTACTTTCTATTGGGACTCCATTTGATAACCAGGTGATTCTCGGTTTGGGGTTGCCATTAGCTCTGCAGATTAGGGCCCCATTTTCTCCTGGGGAAAGCACAAGATTCTGAGGTGCCATGATCCAGTAAGGAGCCGCTTTATGAGGGAAAAGAAAAATATGAATCAGATTATGCAAAAATTAAAAGTATTATGAAAAACGTTTGTCAGTTTCTTGTTTTAGAATTTATAAGTAATGCTTTCTATAACACATTTCAAAGGAATGTTAATGGGACTTATTCACATATACATGTATATAATATGTATACATATGTATATATAATTTCTTGGATCTGGAATACAAAAATCATTGTGTTCTTTTACATTAAAACTGGCATTAAAGTGGTGATGGATTTACCTGGGGTTGTAATTTACAGGTACAGTAAGGGTTAGGGGGTACTGGTAGAGGGGACATTCTGTGGCATTGGTACACGGTATGCATGGAAAATTCTATTATTAATAGTATTATAAATCATTATACCTAAAATATAATTTAAAATTACAAATTAATAAAGAATAGGGGCCAGAGAGATAAGTGGGTCAGGAGCTTGCCTTGCATGCTGCTCACCTAGGTTCAATTCTCGGCACCCTTTATGGTCCCCTGAGCACTGCCAGAGGTGATTCCTGACCCAGACCCAGAATTAAGCCCTAAGCATTACTGGATGTGGTCCCCAAACCCAAAATAAGCAAATAAAAGATAATGAATTAAAATTTTCAATTCCATAGGCTGCATATAATTATAAAGTTACATATTATAAAGTTAGGGAGCAATTTGATCAATTTTTATTCCATTTTTAATTTACTATAATTTTATTATTTTAATTGTAGTTAGGTAACATAGTTGCAATAATAATAACTTTCATGTTTTTGATAAAATTATTGCATTTTCGCCATGACCAAAATGCCCAAATCCTTTCACTGAGATCTGTGCCACTTCAGTCAGCCTTTACCTAGACCCCTTCCCATGATGCTGAGCAATTTCAGTTTCATAATTAAAGGCCAAAGATTTGTCATCATTCATTTGATACAGTCTATTGCAACCTGAACAAATTTTGTATTTCAAAAAGTTGCAAAGTTAGTATAGAGTGTTACCATCCGCTTTTGATCCAGCTTTCCACAACATTAACACTATAGTTGCCAAAACAACAGATCAACATTCATGACATATTTAATTATAATTTCCCCACTTCTTGTCCCCCTCTCCCCTGCCCGCCACACACTAATATCTTATTTCTGTCCTGGATTCCACATCGCTTTTATTTGTTGAGTCTCCATACTTAATCCATACTAAATTTCTTCCAATCTGATAGTTTTTATTTTTTTGATTTTTGTGTTTTTGTTTTGTTTTGTTTTGGGCCCATACTTTGTGTTGCTCACTGTTTAGGGATTACTTTCGCAATGTTTGAGGGGTTGGGGGCCTGTGGTGCTGCAGATTCAGTGTGAGGCTCCTGCATACAAAGCGCATGCTCCATTCTTTTTTTCATTAGTGATACACCATGAGGTACAGTTGTAGACTTACAAACTTTTGTGCTTGGGTTTCAGTTTCACAATGATCAAGTACCCATCCCTCCACCAGTGCCCATTCTCCACCACCAAAACCCTCCCGCCCCTCCACCCCATTCCCCCCCCCCCCCCGCCCCTCCTCTGTGGCAGGGAATTTCCTTTGCTCACTCTTTCCTTTAGGGTGTTGCGTTTTGCAATAGAGGTATTGAGTGGCCATCATGTTTGGTCTATAGTCTACTTTCAGCACAGCATCTCGCATCCCGAGCGAATCCTCCAAACATCCTTTACTTGGTGTTCCCTTCTCTATCTGAGCTGCCTTTTCCCCCAGCATGTGCTGCCAGCTTCCAAGCCGTGGACATGCTCCATTCTTGTGCCTAACGAACTTGAGACTTTTGCTGAGTTTTCTCAAGAATATCTTGAATACCTTACATTTGTCTCATATTTTCTCATAATTAGACTGAAATTTGGGGTGATGGGTTCTTCTGATTGTCTCTTATCATAAATTACATAGTACTGACATGCCACTCTTCATATGCTAAACTTAATCACAGGTAAAGTTGTGTCTGCCATATTTATTTCACTGGAAAGTTATTTTTTCCTACTTTCCATATTCTAATCATTAGAGTCTCACAGTGAAGCCTTAGCCCACGGGGAGGGAATTAAGTTCTATCTCATTGAGAGATAAGTAGTAATGAATTTGAGGACTTAAAACTAGAACTTCCCCAGTAATTAATTTTCTGGAGGAGGGAAGAAATACTTTGAAGCGATGCAAATATCTTACTTTTCTTTAAAGTTTCACGGACTAATTTCAGCAAGTGGCTCTTGCCTCCAGCAGTTATTACTGTGAGATTCTGATGGTTAATTTTCTTTTTCCTTCATTTTTTCTACATTATTATTAATTGTAATTCTGTCAGGAAGATTTGTGGAGCTAATTTTTAACCTAATTTAGATCACTATAAATAGCAATGAGAAGATCTTACATTTATTATTACTGGAGAATATTACCAAAGACATACTTGACTGACTTTCAGGGCCACTCACGAAGGCAAAAACACCACAGCACATTTTAAACAATGGCATACCTTTAACGGTGACAGAAATAGTATGATGGATGGCTCCTAATGCATTCTTGGCTATACACTGGTAATTTCCAGCGTCGGCTTCAGAAACATGAGTGATCTGCAGAGTTTTCTTAAAGTTCCGATAAAATGTTCGGTTGATGGGTAGTGTTCCATCTTCTTTTATCCAGTAAATAACTGGGGTAGGTCTGACAGACAGATCAATAATAATAATATTATAAAATATAAAATGATTCGCCTATGGCTACTTTTTGAGATGACATTGTGCAAGTTTAGAACAAATTCTTTGTATAAAGAGCACATAAACCAGATTTTCCTCCATTTTTGTTGAGGTAATATGTTAATAATATTTTTATGTATGCATTTTCCAACTACCATATCCACTAGAGTTTCTATTTTCCTCCATCAATGTCCCAAGGGCCTCAACTAACCAGGCCTCTCCCTCAGGTAAGTTCAGTTATGTAGACCTGAGCTTGCAAACATAGATATTTTAATAAGTCTCACATTTTTATAAATAATGGTTAGATCTTGAAGCCAGAGGGACAGTACAGTGGGTCCATCATTAGCCTTGCACTCGGCCTACATGGGTTCAATCCCCCCTACCCCATATAATTTCCCAAGCGCTGCCAGGAGTGATCCCTGAGCAAAAAGCCTGGAGTAAGCTCTGAAGCACTGCTTGGAATGGCTCCCAAACCCAAACCAAATAATAATGATTATATCTTAACATTTAAGTGGGAAAGGATCACTTTCTCATCATCAGAACTGTACTATTATTGACCATTCTTATTGACTTCCGAGATCCAGTGCTAACATGAATTACTTTACTGAAGGGACCAAATTATTTTCTTCAATGTTTTGATCAATAAAGGAACTCTTAGAAAAGTTTAGATGAAGGCATTATATACATCAAAAGAATTACCAAGAAAATAATGATCAATTTATGACATGTATTTATTGCAACTTTTATCAGCTAGTTAATAATATACAGAAAAACAGAAGATAAAAAGATCCGTGCTCATAAACTTTTGTGCACATTCCTGTTTCAAATGGAAAACCTTCCCTATTTTGTGACATGCCATCTGATGATGACTGAAGTGATCAGAGGGATAGGGTTCTTTCCTTAATTTTATTAGTAGTGATATTTAAACGTATCATATCAACTTATAAGAACAGATATAAGTCTTGGATTGTTTACTCATTTCTCACCTATTCGTGTTTCTTATTAAAACATGAAACAAAGAGACAGATGAAAAGCCAGAACATAGGGTTGGAATGAAAAATAGGTTTCAAAGTATTAGCCCTGGGCCCAGAATTGGAAAAGCAGCTCAGAAGTAGAACATGCCTTGCATGCGTGAAGCCCTAGGTGCTGTGTCTGCACAGTGAAAGGAATGAAGAAATGAAGAATAAATAAATTAATAGATAAATAAATTTCAGCTCTAACTTGCATATGCATCCTGATCTTAGATTGCCTGATCTCTGTGTATCTCAGTTTCTTGGTCTACCTTCAAGGGGATTAATACGTTAACTTGATTTAATAATGTTTTGTTTGGGGGACACACCCAGTGGTGCTCAGGGGTTACTCCTGGCCCAGCATTCAGGAATTACTCCTTGCATGTTCACGGGGACCAAATGCGATGCTGAGAATCAAAACTGGGTGAGTCATCTGAAGGGCAACCTCCTTACCTGCTGTACTATTATATCTTTGGCCCCTGATAATTTTTTTCTTTTTTTTTTGTGGACTCCTTCAAAGCAGTGCTCAGGAGATCCAGGGACACTCCTGGTGGTAACAGGCCAACTGGTCATAACTGTAGTTCCTATTGGGGTGGGAGGTGGGGAGCATGGGGCTCCAGGCCTCCACCTGGCAGTGCTCAGGGATCCATGAGGTGCTGGGAATTGAATTCTGATTACTGCACATTCAAGGCATGCACCCCTAATCCCTGAGCTATGTCTGATTCTGATCTAGTGTATTTAGAAGGATTTCGTGAGGGTACAATAAAACCCATTCAAAGCGAACATTGACTAAGCTTTGAATGAAGACTAAAGTTGTTTCTTAGGAAGATAAAAAAAATAATAATACAAGAAAGGCTCAGGTCCTCATTAGAAATGCAAAATAATTAACTGCATTGTTTTTGGTTGTTCGAATTGAACAATGAAGAGAACCGAAAGGATATATGTGATTCATTTGATTCTAAAAGAGGTAGAAAAATGTGTAGTCAGGCTGAAAATTTGAAGAGACCCTAAAGATGGTACTTAGCAGGTCTCCTAGATGGGATTTTTGCTATATCAGAAATTAGAGGAACGGAGGGGTGGATAGTGTAATGTCCTGACATGGCCAGCAGAGGCCTTCATGTGCAGCCAGCAGTAAAGTGATTCCTGGGGGCTGGAATGGGGAAGCAACGTGAGCTTCCAAGTCAAGGCATACAAGGTGACAACTTAAGGCAGCATGTTTCTAAGGTTCCACTCAGTCTTTTCAGCAAAGGTGCCAACGATACTAGTTCTGTAGTTGGCATGAGCAGTGGCTGTGTAGAAGCCTGCCTCTAACGTGGACTAGCATAACAGTTGTTCAGCTGGAACCGCGGTCTCTCTGTAACTCCCATCAAAAGCATAGAGATTTGAAGGGAGACGATGCTTTTGACTTGCACCTAGGAGACATTTGCCGAGAAGTTGGCCATGTGACTTTCCAATAAGAAACAATGTATGGGACAATGCCTGAGTTTCCTCTGCTAAGCCCTAAGAGAACATATGCATCTCTGTGGTTGGGAGAATTAGCAACAACTAGAGGAATGTGAGAACCTCAAGACCCAAAAGACAGTTGGACGGGGTGGAGTCCCCTAGAAAATACTAGAATTAAAAGAACATAGTCTATTATGACATAATTATTCTGCAGACTTACAAATGACCCATAATAGCTATGGTTTGAGGTGTTTAATTTTTGGTTTTGGGGTCATACCTGGCAGTACTGAAACGATTTCCAGCTAGCAAGAAAAGATCTTTAACCCTTGTATGCCTCTCTCTCTCTCTCTCTCTCTCTCTCTCTCTTCTTCCTCTCTCTGTCTCTGTCTCTTTTTCTCTCTCCCTGACCTTTCTTTCTTTCTTTATTATTTTTTGGTTTTGTTTGTGTTGTTTTTTAGTTGCAGAGTCAAACTGCTTCGTCTATAGAGGGGATAGAGTTGAGAGTACAAAAGTAAAAGAAAGAACTTATTCATCACAGGTTGAGAAGCAGTTGATCTCTAAAATGGGGAATGTGTGCTGTTGGCCTTTACAAAGTTGGTTTGACAGCACTTTACCCTGACAACCCCCTCCCTGGGGTTTTCTAAGAAAACAGTCTATTGCTTGGGCCTTGTCATGAGGGGAAGAACTTTGTAGTTTTGGTGATCCTCTCATGCTTTACCACAGCCTTTTGCTTCTCTTGGAGCATCCTTTTCTGAGGGGTCCGCCCTTCCCTTCTCTGGGTTGCTATTTCTCTGAAGCGACCAAGTTTGGAAGTGACTGTGCAAAATAATACAATCTATATATACCCTAATTATAGCAATCATAAAGTGATTACCATTTCAAAATGAACACCATTATACAAACAAAACATTCTAATAAAAAGGGGTTAATTTCATATTTTAGAAATGACTATCAATTTTTTTATTCATGTTTTTTGGAACTGGTTTAAGAAAATGAGTTTCTATGATATTAATGGTTTTTTATCAACCTAGTATGTTTTTCTAAAAAATATAAATCAGGGGGCGGAGAGATAGCTCAAAGATCTATGTGCATGCCTTGCATGCAGGAGGCCCAGATTCGATCCCTGATATCATATGGTTCCCTGAGCATCACTGGGAGCAACCTCTGAGCACAGAGCCAGAAGTAGCCACCGAGCACCTCTGGGTGTGACACCCTCCCTCTCTCCGTCCCTCACCCCCATCACCACCAAAGAAAAGAAAGAAAAGAATCTACGAGATTTGGGGAGAGCTCAGTGGCAAACCTGACTTTCAAATTTGAGGTCATCAGTTTAATCTTCAGTGTCACTCTTATGAGCCCAGCACAGCCCCATTCATTGGTTCTGCAGTTTGGGATTCTTGGTGCTACAACAGAGTGTGCAATCTCTTGTTTAAAGTGGCACTGCAACTTTATGTGCACCGCTCCCCCATTCCCCTCCCCCCACTAACCGAAAGCAGCAACAAAGGGAAGGGATAGAGAAGGAAAATCAAGGTATGCATCAAGACAATAACTCACAGTCCTTCTGCAATGCACTCGAGGGACAGGACGTTTCCTCTGAGCTCCTCTTTGCTACTTGTGTTGCCTTCTGGAGTTAAAAATGTGGGTGGCCTCTCCCTGTTTGATTTAGCTGCAAATGAGAAAATCAGCTTGCATTAAAATCTATGAATATGTATTTCTAGAAATACAGTTCACTGTCTGAAAATCATATGCCTTTTCAAAACCCTCCAAATTGTGAAATTACTCATGTATACGCTGCCTTACAAATAGTTATCACTCATTAGCTGGTCAGGAACAGAAACAATTTTCACTGCATAGCACTAATAGTATGGGTTATTTTCCCTTGGTACATTTCCTTAATTTGGAGTCAGTGTTTATAAATATTTGGTTAGTTGAAAAATTTCAAAACACTGATATAGAAATGAAAACCATGTTCTTAAATTACCCCTCTCTTAAAATTAGTGCTCAGGTGAAAGCAAAATTAACAGTCTATCTTCTGGGAGATATGTTTTCTCTGAAAAGAATTTTTAAGAAAGGGATTTGTTTTTGTTTTTTGTTTTGGGGCCACACCCATCCATCTGTGATTGGGAGTATTCTTGGCTCTGCACTATCACTTTTGGTAGGCTTGAGGGATCATATGGGTTCTGGGGATGAAATTTGGGTCAGCCACTTGCAAAGGCTAGTGCTTTACCTGCTGTACTATCTTTCCAGCCCCAAAAATAAATATATATTAAAGATGTATATATTCATATTTTCACTAAGGGTCTTATAACAAGTTCCACTGATTAATTATGGAAATAAATTTCTGGTGGACGTCTATCACATTACGACACCAAACTGTAAGGTTTATGGAAATTAAATAAAAATAAGATGATTAATGAGAAGTCTGCCAAACTGAATGCCACAAAATAAGAATAATGGTGCTATTAAATAAACTGACATTGGTTTCTTTTAAAAATAAGAAGGTTCAAATCAAAGATCTCTGGAATAGTTAATTAGCTATCATTTTTTTTATGGAGACTTTCCAAAATGTGGTGTTAACTTCTGATGCTCTCCAAAAAAACTTAATATAGATATTATGCCATATGTAGATTTAGTAGACTTTTGTTGTTTCCAACATTTTAATACATATCTATTTGATGCTCATAGGAGGAATAAAAAGTATTCTCAATTCTCGGGGAAAAATGCCAGAGATATTTTTAAAGGTATTATCTTAGAGAAATAAGTGCTTTCCTTAGATTACAGAGATTGTACAGAAAAATATACCCTTCTAAAATAACTTTGAGAATGGTTTTTGAATCCCTACTTCCTGATATATTAAAGAATGGGATTGTAGTATTTTTACTCTGGTTACTTATGCTACCTTCAATTTTTCAAGGATGAAATGTTTTTCATTAAGAGAATCCTGTATCCAGAGCCTATAATTTTCACTGACATGCTATGCTTCAGAGCAAACTTTTCTTTAAGACATACTATTCCTTTTTTTCCAAGAAAATGAACTAAAATGCTGTCATTTTAAAGTGATTGGTACTACTGAAAATAGAGGGTTTTAAACAAAACTATGAGAAATGATGTTACTAATTACACATATGGGGGGGAAGGGATATGGGATGATTTACTATTCACATCCAGCTAACATTAGTTGCTAGATAGTACTAAAGCTTTGATGAGTTAGTATTCTGGCAGGTTAATGCATTTTTGCCAATGCTTCATTAGTTCATGAAAGAAATATATAAACAAGACAAAAAATAAAAAACATAAATCTGAATATACATGGAAAATTTTTTCAAACTACACAAAATGGATCTTTTCATGAAAACAGTTAATAATCTGCATACACACAAAATGGAAAATGCTTTAGTGACATATTTGAAGGCTCACTGCCAAATTTTATAAAAAACATACACATAATCTAGTGGTATTAAACATGTAACTAGAAATTTCTAAATAAATAAGGTTAAATAGTCATGGAGGTGAAGTTAGTGAACTAAATTCTACAATGAGGGAGAGAGTATCAGTTACAGTTACCATAACTCACCACCATAAAACTCAGTGTCACTCAAATTAGCAGCTATAGTGTCATTCAATTCATCCACTGAAATAAACAGAATATTATGAAGAATGCACAAAAGTAGGAGAGAAGTTTCAAAAAGTATTGGGCAATCAAAGCAAATGTATACAGCTATGCTGATCAAATGCCATTTCAACCAAGTAAGAACACTGCTTTGCATTACACATGACTGATTTACTAGTTCACTTAGCCACCCCAAATCATATGATTGAATATGAACATAGATCTGAATGAAAGTGGACATAACTAAAGCTGCAGGATTGCTGATAAAGGGGCCCCCAAAGCACACACAAGTGCTTAGAGGATGCCAAGTAGACTGAGAAAGCTATTAAGAGAACGGTAATAGCAGTAAAAACAAAACCCATAAAATCACAACTTTCAGGTACATATATTCTTTATAATTCATATGCCTACACTTTAGTGTCTATTTGCCAATTATTTCCTGTTCAAAAACTATTACTAAGAAGTCAGTAGTATTTAACAGTGAACATGCCTTGCACAGATCTGCAATCTCAGTGAGATTAAGGAAACTCAACTCTTACCTGAAATCACTTTCACAGAAATAGGTTGTTTTTGCTGTATGGTTTGGGTGTGGTTAAATCTGGCATAGCAGATATAATCTTCTCGGGTATCCTCCGGGAGAACATTGGAAAAATAAAGGTCTCCATTCAGACCTTGGGAAACCCTCTCACTTTGTGGTAGTCTTTGAAAGGCTAGAGAAAGGCAGACAGATATTTAGATCATTCCATCATAAAATAGTCATTTTCCAAAACAGCATGACAAATGTATCAACTAATAGTTATGTGAACTTCACTTTTTCCCTGCTATAAAGTTCTCTGAGTAAAAACCAGTAACTAAAATAAGAATAAAATAAAAATATATAAGACAGTAAAACTCTAGCTTGAACCTGCCAAAATCTAGGGTTGGTGATATAGATGAGATTAGGGCTGTACAGAGAAAAAGATATATATGGAAAATGGTAAGAGGCCAGGAATACACGGGTAAGTGCTTGTGGCTGACCCTGATTCCATCCCAGACCACATATGACCCCCCAAATATGGCTGGGGTGATCTCTGAACATAGCCAGGTGTGGTCTGGGCCCTTCCCACCCAGACAAAGTGTAGATTCAAAGGCATCTTGAAAAGTTTTGAAAATCAAAATTTTTACAAAAAGATTGTATGAATTTTTAAAAGATTGTGACAGGTTCTTAACTGTTAAACACATATACACATATCTTAGAAAATGCCTTTCAGCTGGAATAGAGAAGAGATCACTAAGACAATGATGGTTGCAGGAATCGCTTTCAGGATAGGAGATGTGTGCTGAAAGTAGATAAAGGACCAGACGTAATAGCCTCTCAGTATCTGTACTGCCAACCATAATGCCCAAAAGTAGAGAGAGTATGGGGAAAATTGTCTGCCATGGAGGCAGGGGAAGGTTTGGAAAGAGGGGGTATACTGGAGACACTGGTGGTGGAGAATATGCACTGGTGGAGGGATGGGTGTTTGATCATTGTATGATTGAAATTCAAACATGAAAGCTTGTAACTGTTTCTCACGGTGATTTAATTAAAAAAAACCTTGAAAGAATAAAAATCATAAAAAAGAAAAGAAAATGCCTTTGGGAAACATGTGAATTTGGGTGGCATCCACATACATGCTCAGAAACTCAACACTGTAGGAGCACTTAATAGTGAATAGTTCTATGGTAGGGGCTGGGAATGCCACGGTCCCTGACTGTCTGAGATCAGGATCTAACCGAAGATACAGGCAGCAACATGGAGCAACAGCTACAATTTAATGGCTGAACTGACTTTCCAGGCTTGTGCGTAGCTGATATCTCAGGTCTATTCACAGGAACTATCTAGTCTCAGGCATAGAAGGAAGATTTTCTAAGGCGCTGTAGGAGTCAGAGAAAGGAGAACCACCAATCTAGGTAAAAATTTACACATGGATTCCTCGTACTCATCCTCTCTCGATTCACCCATCCTTATCTATGAGGTTCTTAGCTCTTAAATGTGGAAAAGTGACAGGACCACAGTTGCTCAGGCCCGGTGCCATCCTGCCCCAGGACCTCTGCAATCTGGGTCAAGCACTGTGACCCTCCACTAACAGACGCCCTATCTAACATTTCATATGCAGCAGGAAAAAGCGAGCAAATGTGGAGCCAGAAAATTAAAAATGCCACCAATATCGTAATCAAGACAAGGGCTTGATTGGCAGCTGGAAATTCATGGTTTGAACCCATTAATCCCTAAGGAAACACTCAAAGGCAGATGTAAAAGCATTCATCATCAAAACTTATTATCAGGGAAATGAAAATCAAAATGATAATGAGATACCATCTCATACCAGTGAGAATGGAATATACCAAGGACTACACAGTGTTAGCAAGGATGTGGTGAAAAAGAAACCCTCAGTCACTGATGGTAGGAATATTGTCAAGTGTAGCGTCTAGGGAAAACAGTTTGAAGATTTTTCAAAAAGTAGGACTAGAACTCCCATATGATTAAACAATTCCGGTTCTTGGCATCTACCTCCAAAATACAAAAACATTAATTCAAAAAGATATATGCATACCCATATTCATTACAGTATTTAGCACCATGGTGACAGCCCAAATGTCCAATAGCAGATATTGGATAAAGAAGCTGCAGCATAAATACACAATGCAATACTGGGCGGATATACGAAAAGAGGAAATCTTGCAGTTCACAGCAATTTGAATGAAACTGGAGGGTATCTGACCCAAAGTAAGTCAGAGGATACAGGACATACACCAGGTGATTATCAGTCATTTGGGTACATAAAGAAACAAAACAAGGGAATAGATGGTAGCAAATGATGACAACACTTGGTCTTTTATTCAAAACCAAGATTATCAAGCCAGTAGGGACAGAATATGTGGGAGCAGCAGAGAGGAGGATAAGTGATGTAGGAACAGTGGTGGAGGGTCTGGGCTTGGATACTTTGGTGATGGTGAAGGTGCAATGACTTTATAGATCAAAACCATAAATGTTAAGACTATCTGAACCATATTAAACTATAAAATATTTAAAAATCAGGCAAAGAGTAATAAAAACAAAATCAGAAAAATAATCATTAAATGAGCAAAAAAAGTTAAAGCTAAGCATATATCCACTTTCTTCTGTTTCTTCTGTAATATTTTATTTTATTTACTTATTTTTTTAATGTAGGAGTACTGCTATTTATTCAGCCATTGATTAAGCTGATTGAGCAGGGCATGAATTCCACTGCAATATCTTATTATTGATGGATATTGGTAGATGAAAGACCAAATGAAAGGGAATGGGGTTTGATAATGGAGGTAGCACTATGCCCTTTGAAATCTTCTGTATTACATTTGAAACAAATGTAAATATATAGGAATAACTTTATGGATACATCTTATAAAAAGAGTTCTGTAAGTATATTAATTTTCCCTCATATTAAATATGTGGAATAATTTGAAATGCCCTGCAAACAACCTAAAATATATGTACATGACATAGCCAGCATAGCAATATGGAAAAAATTTACATATTCAGATGATTCTGAGACTTTACTTGTGCCTTCTTATTAAATGGAAAGGTCATTTTTTTAAATGTTAACCAAGGACCAAATTGGGCTTCATTCTGGCAGTGACATTTAGATAATGTTTTCTTGAAACCATACATTTACTTATTCTTACAAAATTTGTACAAAAATTTTAAAATATGTGCATTTATTAATTATATTTATTTTCCATTTTTGTAATACTTTCTCTGAGTACTTTTATACAAGAGTCAAAATGGAAATAAAATAGAAATAAAATCTAGTGTTAAATTTTATCTTCAGCACAGAGTACAGCCCATGGTTTTAGAGGAATCCCTATTAGTGAGACTAGAATAAACTCCCTAAGAATATTTTACAAAAATTTTTCCACTCTATTTAAATCGGTGATTTTTACCCTTTTCTTGAATCTCTGAATTGGCACCAGTCCACAGTTTTCAAATAGAAAACTACTGAACTACACAACTCTTGTTAAGATCATAAATATCATGGCAATATAACCCCTGTATTGCCGAATTTAATATTCATTTTTTGGTCCTCAAGTTGCATGATCTATCAGCAGAAGTCATTTAAACAGCCGGCTGTCTTCTTGACACTCTCTTCACCTTTCTGAAATACCACTTTCTTTCTTACCTCAGTAACCACCTCTTCTCAATTGGTTTCTTTCCAAGTTGTTTCCCTGGCTTAGGCACCCTCTTGAAGCCCACCCCTCATCCCCTCCCTGATCCCCCTACCCCCCGCCCCGATCCCTGGCCATGGATCCCTGGATTCTTTCATCCTTCCCTGGTTCTACAGAGAAGTTTTAAAATGAAGACTCATGGAGCCATCTGCCCTCCCTTAGGCTCTGGGTACATACCAGGATGCTCCTGCAGGGGACTTCATGTATAGTCTCCTTTCTGCCCAGATACTCAGGGATCCTTGCTCTCTTATTCCTTTATCTTCTCCTCAATCTCTGCTATTTTTCTTCAAAGCACTTGTCAGAGGACACACATTTTCTAAATGCATTTGTTGTCTGTCTCTGTTTCCATTTCCTTCTATCTAACTGACTATCAGTGAGAAAAGGAATTGCTCAATTTCTCTAGCCAATGCCTGGCACATAGCAGATCCTCAGTATAATAGACTGAAGGAATAGAATGATAGATGTGCTATTCTAATGAGCATTTGTTTTCTTGAGCATCTCTAAAACATTTGATAAATACTGCATGAATCACAACAGGTTATAGCAGTACGCTAACAAATAGCCATTAGCTTCTTGAAGGAAACCTGTACTTTAAAACTTACAATTGTCCATCCAGAATATTATAGGTGGTGGTAATCCAAGTGGAGGTCTGCAGGGAAGTACTAAAGAGTGGCCATTTTGAAGTACTATTGGTTCAAGTTTTTCTTTGGTCCACAATGGTGACCCTATGAAGTAAAATAACCATTTATAAGTTATTTCTGCATTAGAAAATTAAAAGAGCACTGTAAAGAAAAAATAATCTTCTAGGGGGATTTTAGGAAACTTAGAATTTATTCACATTAAAATAATAATAATAATAAGCATAGTTTTATAATACAATGTTAACGGTAAAATATTTTTTATTCATTACCAATTTCATTTACTACCATTAATCCTATACATTTAAAAAGCCATTTTATACTGAGTATTGCCGTGTGTGTGTGTTTGTGTGTGTGTGTGTGTGTGTTTGTGTGTGTGTCCCTCACAAAGCCCCCCAAGCATTACTGGGGAAAACCTCTGAAAAAAAGAAGACACACAAGTTTGGGAAAAACTTGTTTTTCACAAAAGAAAGGAAAACACTTAACAGTCAAAAGATTTGTTACATAAAGATCCATCTAAATCTTTGACTATCATACAGCATTGTATATGTAGAAGTATATTTATTCCTAATACTGATCAGAATATTTATGATATGTTGATAAAACAAAAATGTTATTAGTAAACTCATTTTACATGGGCTATAAATTAGTAGTCCCTGAGTTCCTGCTGTGGCCCAAACCATTCTCCAAACAATGAAACGCAGCTCATTGTATGCACATAAATCATTGCACACTGAAAAAAAAATGGAAACAGTATTTGAGTACTAGTTACTTCCTTGAATGGAAATATTCATGAATAATATTACAATTTGATTTTAGTTTAACTGTAACTACTTGTAACACATTTTTTTCTATAATGATACATACCACATATGTGTAATACAATTTTAACAATAACCAGAACTGCAGTTCTCTTTTTCTTTTCCAGCAACAGGAATTAACCCCAAGGCCTCATACATGCAAGGCATGTGCTCTACTGATGAACTACATCCCAGCCCCAGGTCATTTTTCTTTAAATATATGCTCTTGAGATTTTTGTTCAGATGATTTGGGCGCTGAATTAGCATAACAGCAAGGTAGTAAGAGCATGGTTATGTCAGTGAAATTGTAAGACTAAAATGTTTAAAGGCATAACAGGCCTTAAAGTACTCATTTTCATCTATCTGGCTTTAGAAGTTTATTTTACATAAAATATGTGAGAAATTAACAATTTTATCATTTCAGACTTGAATGAACTGGATCAGCCGAGCATAAGGCTGAGAAACTCGTGATTCAGTGGAAAGGAGCAATGCCAATTGCAGTTCCAATTCAGAGGATTGGGACCAATGCAGTAGCCAAGGGAGGGAGAGTCTGGCCACACCCAGCAGTGCTCAGAGGCTGTTTCTGGCTCTGCACTTAGAAGTGATCCCTCACGGAGTTCTGGGAACCATATGCTGTACCAGAAACAGAACCAGGATCAGTCCTGTGTATGGGGAGTTCTTACATCCTTTATAATCCCTCCAGTCATTATTTTTTAGTGTTAACTGGCTGACTAATAGATAGTTGAGTCTTAAAGCAAAACATCAAAATGGGTTCTATTTAGTTGAAAACTCCTACTTACTGGATGGTCGGATGATAATGTTGTTAGAAACTGCAGCCCCACGTTCATTCCTGGCTGTGCACTGATAGACACCTTCATAGCTCTCCGCCTTCCCTTCACTCATGATGTTGATGATAAGGGTTCCTGACCCTGGCTGCATGGTGACGAGAGGATCTTTGTCTATGTCAAAATGAGTCCCATTTCGTGTCCAGGAGAAGCTACCCAACACATAAAGGATTAAGTTTGCTGACAGTTCAAATAAAATTACTTAACTCCTTAACATATTCCTAGAAATGTCATGGGCTTTTAGAGATAACTACATATTTTCATATTCAGTAAAAGAGTAATAAGCTCCTTACCAAAAACATTCATTAAATCATGATTTAGGAAAAAATGCTGGCCATACATCCTTTATTAGAATCAAATGAAAACTGAACTCAAGTTGGCACACAAATTGCCTGTCATTTTTCATGGAAAATGCAGGAGATAAGTCCCCTAGTCACACTGTCTCAGAGCTTTATTAGCATTTTTATTGTGAATTCCTTTGCTCACAGAATTGATAACCTGTCTATACAAATTTGCTCTGGGCTAAAATGTGTCAAGAAAGGCTTTCATAAATACTATTTGTGTGTGTGTGTGTGTGTGTGTGTGTGTGTGTGTGTGTTTAAAAGTGATCCAATCAGTTTTAAGCTACCAAAATTCAAAGTGAAGGTAGGGAGGAAAGAAAAAATATAAGTTCAGTGGTGATTTAAATGTTACTTATTAAAGTAAAATTCTACGCATTTTGCACATTTTAAATGATAGAGATTTTTTTAATGATAGAGATTTTTTAATTTTTAGGAACTTATTTAAATAATCAAATGAACTACTTTTTTCTATTTTTGCAGAGAAAAGACTGATTTTATATATATGTATTTTATAGTTTATCAGAGCACTTGTGTAATTAAATATTTTATAACCCGACACATCAGCAATGGCCATATTCATATACTGGCAAATATCTCTAAATTTCAGCCTGTTTTTCAGATCCACTTAGGTCTCCTGCTCCACTATTTATTCCTATATCAGTGGCTGTCACAAGTTCCAACTCATGCGGGTTTATTTGTGGTAGGTGCCATTGGCATATAATATGTAGAAGTCGCTTCCAAGGCAAATGTCCTACCCTCTGTGCTATCGCTCCAGCCTGACCTGGATTCATTTCCTTTGTCCCTCTTGGAGAGCCTGGCAAGCTACTGAGAGTATTCTGTCCTCATGGCAGAGCCTGGCAAGCTCCCTATGGCATATTTGACATGCCAAAAACAGTAACAACAAGTCTCACAATGGAGACATTACTGGTGCCTGCTCAAGCAAATCAGTGAACAATGGGAGGAAAGTGACAGTGATGTAGAAGTCAGGTCTATTGTTTAATATTTATTCTGTAATGCACAGGACAGCAGCCATTTAAAAAAATTATCTACATGTAATTCCCCAGCTTTTTTTTGTGAGAATTCTACCACAATTTATAGGTGTGATTAAAAACCTTCAGAATAATGTATGTATGCCACTGGACTGAGCATTCAGAACTCAGTACTGACAAATCACTAGTAGTAGTTTGTTAAGTACCATTCTCTTTACAGAAGAGAAGTCAAATATTTCCCAAGGAAGGCACCCAATATTTGTGGTTCTGACCTTGCAGCCTTTTGTTGAATCTTAAAAGATTATAAAACTGGCTTGCTGTTTACAGAAATGAATGATAGAGGGACAGAGGGATAATAAGGAGGTAAGGTGCTTGCCTTGCATTCAGCCGATGAGTTCAATTCCCAGCACCCCATATAGCCACCAAAGTTCTATTAGGAATAAACCTGGTGTACAGAGCCTGCAATAAGCCCTGAGTAAAGCTATATGTGGCCCTCCAACAACACTGCCACCTCAAATAAATAAGAAACTAGAATGATGATACATGTATAGGAATTACTGCGTGCTTTCCCTTAATATTCTTTTTGTAAGAACAAGTAAAGGATGAAGTCTTTAAACAACTGGACAATAAAATATCCCCTAAACAAAAATTTATCTGTATTAGTTGTAAGGTGAAGAAACATGACTTACAGAGTTATAGGAATACTAGGTATAATTAGACTGAAAATGAACTCCATCAAAGCACACCACATTAGGGGTTTGTAAGAATTATTTTCATATACTTAAGGTACTTAAGGTACATAAGTAGGCATATTACATATACCTAGGTATAATTGTTATTTACCATTTATTTTTTTTCAGATACCTGTCTGTGACATGTTGAAAAGACTTGAAACAAATTCATAAATAAAATTTTAGAAACTTTCACTTCTTCACTCCTTAAAAATCCGCATTCTAAATCAAGGGGGGTAGCAAGAAGAAGTGGATGGGAAGTAATGGGATCAGGGGTCAAGGGCTTTGGGTGCACTGGTGGGGTATAGATGTGTAGCATCAACAACACTGAGAACAGGGGACCAAACTACAACAACCAAACTTTAAAACATGCCTTTCAAGGGGCAGACTGAGGGATGGAATGGGGAGGAAGGGGAGAGCCTGGGGATACTGGTGAAGGGAAATTGACACTTGTGGTGGGTCTGGTGCTGGAATACAGTATGCCTAAAACTCACCAGTGAACTTTGTAAATCATGTTGTCTTGATGAAAAAAAAATTAAAATTTATTTTAAGGAAGAGAGCAAACCATAGAAGCAGTTTTCTCTTAAGCAGAAAAGCTGCTGGACAAGGTCTTCAAAGACATGATAATGTACTAGGATTTTATTCAAGATCAACGGTGTGCTGAAAGGCTTTTTAAAAGGTGATACATAACATTTTAAGACAATGTTGTTCAAAATGGCCAAAGGCACAGAACCTGGGAATTTACCACAAGAACTGAACTTACATCGGATGGGGTGTAGGTAAATGGGGGACCCTGAGACAATGATGGATGAAGTGGACAGTGGTGGAGGATGTGGTGCTGGAACATTGTATCAAGATACCTTATCATTAACAGTATTGTAAATCATGGTGACTAAAATAATATTTGAAAATAAAACAAAAGAGCAAAATAAATCCACGTTCCATTTTAATAAAAATTCATGTCTTTTAAACTTATATATGGACAAGTGGTGGATAACCCATTAGCTGTAGGAGCCTAGATAAGTTTCAAAGCATTGTTAGGCATCTACTTCCTATATGTGAAATATATTGGTTGGATTCTATGACTTCTATATTTCTACTTTTCTACTTCTACCAAGTCTATAATGCTATGTGGCACACCTGACAAGATCCACATAGATAACCCTCAAAACTGAACCTTGCCAAGTTTGCAAAATAGAGCAAATAGAATTATTTGCTCTCTCCAGAGCTGGCAGAGATCTTGCAAGTCATCAAACTCAACTTCTTTACAGCCAAAAAAACCGATGCTTAGGGAAAAAATGATTATTCATGCCCTAGGTCATTAAAAGACTATCCACATTTCCCTGTAATTTTTAAAATCTTTTTTATTGAATCACTGTGAGGTAGACCCTTACAAAGCTGTTCATGATTGGATTTCACTCACAGTGCTCCAACACCCATCCCTCCACCAATGTACATTTCCCAGCACCAGTGTCCCCAGGTTCCCGCCCATCACTCCCTGCAATTTTTTTCAAGATTTCATAGGAGGGTCTGAATATAAAATATTACTGTGGATTTTTAAAGATAAAAAAAGCTAATTTTAACCAATAAGACAGACAAGAACAATGACCCTACAAATATTAATTTAGAGACAGATGGCCAGACCTGAAATTAACTTTGATACTAACATTAAGGCTCACACACCACACCACAGCAGAAAGCACACCCACCTGGGAGGAGGTTTTCCTTTGGCCTCACACTGGATTACAATATTCTCCCGAGGGTCAATAATGTAATCTTTTGGTGACTGTTGAGTGATGGTTGGAGGCTGTACCACTTAATTGTAGAAAGAAGAACAATGTCAAGAAATAAATCATTTAATATAATTGCAGTTGTGTTTTCATGTCCGTTTCTTTCCCTAAGTAAAATATATTTAAAATGTTTTTGATAATTTTCACGGTGGAAGCAAAAACCTCCATTGATTTTGTTTTTGGTTAAGGCATTAATGCCTTTTGATGCTTGTAGATGTACTCACAAAGACTACTTTTCTATACCAAAAGTTCAGGGAAGTCATTGCCAATACAAGTATTAACAAAGCATTAGTATTAAGAAAGCATCTTTTCTGATGTAACAATGAGATATTCCTTTGATTCCTTTGGTTCAAACAATGCCTTCCAAAGGAATGTATTAGAAACCCGCTACTCCTAAGGAAGAGTGACTTGGAGCAAATTCCTGTGCTCATGTAAATTAATATATGCCAGGAAGGAATTAATTTGAGAAGAGTATTTTAAAAAGATGGTTAGGAGACTTGATGTGCCTTATGAGTTACAGTCAGGTGATGGGCATGTACTAGGAAGTGGATAGGAATAGAGATAAAAAGTCTTATTTATAAGATAAATGAAACTGGAAAGTTTTCTTGTTATAGGAGACAATATTTTCTTTTCCACCTTGTAGAGTATTATCTGATTGCTTATGATAAAGCGTAGGGGAGAAACTGTTCTGACCCAGAACAACTCAATTTGAAGAAAACTGATATCTGGCTAAATCTTGGTCACTTTAAGATCATCATATCCTTCTTCCTTGAAACCAGAATGATGGTTGTGCAGAAAGAATCTATTCCCAGGCCTTCTGTTGTTCAGGGCCTGGAGAGCTGTGTATATAAATGAGTAGCTCTCAACCAGGAGCAATTTGTCTCCATCCCTTGTGGAATATTTGATCCTTTCTGGAGGGAATCTGATTGCCATCTCTGAGAAGTGGAGATATGCTGGCATCTGGTGTGCAGAAACTGCTAAACATCTTACGATGTTCGGGGCAGCCCACGGGAGCAACAACTATCAAGCTATATGTCAGCAGATTTGAGACCGAAACACTGGCCCAGACAACTAGGTGAACGTTACTCCTGGAGATGTGCCATGCAGTGGCCCATTTCATGCACCTTTCCTCTCACCATGAACGTTCCCCAGAGCCCTTCAATGTTCTCACTCTCCGTTTCCTACCATGTGTTTGACACTGGATAATCTATTTCATCTTCTTTGTTTTTCCTTTATTCTCTCTCAGTGTTCGTGTTTACTTTGTAAAACCCTTTTTCATATGCTGAACAGGCATTTCTTAGAACTTAATAGTTGCCCTCTGCTCTTTCTTACTTCACTGTGGCTAAGTGTTGCCACGACTGAATACTGCTTCCATGTCCAGTGCCTTATAAATCTGCAAACAGCCTCTTTTGCAGACCATGGCACTCAAAAGGAGAGAGAGGGAAATGCCCTGCCACAGAGGCAGGGTGAGATGGGGGATGGGGTAGGGAGGGGATGCTGGGATTCGTGGTGGTGGGAAATGCGCACTGGTAGAGGGATGGGTGTTTGATCATTGTATAATCGAAACCCAAGCACAAAAATGTGTAAGTCTACAATTGTACCTCATGGTGCCTCACTATTAAAAAATAAATAAATATAATTTTAAAAAAATCTGCAAACATGGTTCTGCTCTCTAGTTTTATTCCTATCCACCAGATCTTTCACTAAACATTCAAGTAATGCCTAAATATAGATAAAAAATAAGTTTGTTATTTTCACCATTAATTATGCACCTGTCAAGTAGAGGACAATGGACAGTATATATTTTCCCTCTCTTTAAGGAGTTTAAATTCTCAGATTCTACTCTATGCACATACCCTCTTTCCTCCAGTTCTGCCAATTCCAAGACTGGACTGTAGTTTAGTTTTAAGATTAAGAACCTTATAAAATTAAGTTTATTTGCTTCTTAGTAGCTCCAAGAATTTAGAAATGTCTTCTAATATCCTTAGAGGGAAAAATATTACTTAATGGTAGTATCTAAGGTCAGGGATATAACTTAGAGATAGAACACTTGCCCAGCATATGTAAGACCTGGGATTAATCCCAGAAATAATAATAATAATAATAATAACAACAACAATAATAAAATTTGCTAGGAGTTGTGTTTATCTCTTAGGTTTGCTTAGAGGATAAAATAAATCATGTAAAACTGTTAGTACATACTAATGCTATAATTGTTGCGTTAACTGCTTTCAGATTATTGTCATAATTATATTAATTTCAATCAACTTCATGTTTGAGTGATCTTTTTTTAGGTTCTAAGAGTATTATTACTTAGGCTAATGAGAGGAAGTCTAGAATTCTAAACCCAGGGAATGGTGGACACAGATGGCGGGAGAGAGGATTTTTAGGAGTGAACCAGTACCATATTCTGTATTTTTCTACAAGTGACAGGTGCAAATCTGGTCGGTTTAAACAAAAAAACTTCTATTCATGTTTCTGCATTGGAACAACTTAGATGCTATTTCTAATACCTAGGAGCCACCACATGGAAGTCCCTCTTTGTTAAATGCTTAGGTCACCTTGCCACTAACAAGTACTTTCCTGAAATAAGGGAAAATTATTAGGGAAATAATGTTATTTTTCAGCAGGTTATTTTCCTGGTTAATTTGCAATTTGCAAATTATAATTTGCCTGACTAATCCAATATCAAAGGGCTTTTCAAATGTTGAAAAATTATTTTTTAGGTCAATGAGAGATGTTGCCCAACAGTTGGGGCAGAAGAAAGCTTTTACTGAGAGCGAGCCACCAGATGTGCTGTGAGCATTGCTGCTTATTTGTCTCTTGCATTCTTCAAGACAATATTCAAATTCACTGGGCTATTACTGATGATACACAGAAACAGTACCATGTTTATAAAGTCCTGCAGGCTAAGTTGGGAAAAGAAGGCATATAACTGCCAATTTGGATAAAGCATTTGCATAGATCTGCCTCCTAAAAAATCACCAAATGATTTGCCTTCATTCCGGTAAGTATTTAAAAACATTTAGAAATGGACGGTCATTTTCTCTAAATGTTGTGAATTTTCTCATTGAGTTACATCAGATATGAATAAAGCTTAGCAGTTAGTAGTGCAGAACGTTGGTAAAAGAAAAAAAAGTAGCACCTGAGTCATCAGAAATCATGCGCAGGATAAACATGTTTCTTTGTTTTTAAATGCAGTGTTTAGTCAGAGTAAGTACACATGCTTAAAAAGATATTAGTCACAAAACATAAAATTCTGGTTTAATTCACAGTATTAATTCAAAAACAAAGACACGGTGAAATTTTCACACTGCCTACTATTTACAGAAAGACACTTACAGTCTTCAAGAAGTTTTGCTTTTTCCCCATCAATATCAGCAGGTGAGTGGGCAAACAGGATTAAAGAAAACCAGATGTTAGTAATAAGAACATTAGAACCCTGAAGATAAAAGGGGCATCTTTGTCTATTTGTTTTGACCTAAAAAATACAGTGATGATTGAAATCAATAGTGAAGTTGCAAGAAAAAAGAACTCTCATGAATGGTTTTGTTTATTCCTGTAGTGCCTATCCCACACCAACATATGGAAGAAGAAAAGAAATGCTATAGGTAAAATGTGATTCTTCCAGGAACAGGAATGGCTATTTCCATTGAATCTGTGTTTGATGGGCAAGTTATTAAGTTTGATTTGGGAAAAAAATAGCTGAAATCTACTATTAATCTGAGTTTTCAGACTATGCAGTGTCTGATCCTTTTATCCCAGGCATCACAGTGTACACAGTAATAACACCAAAGAATAGAACGTTGCTAGAACAGCAACACTCCACCCAAGCCAAGTCGAATGCTAATTTTAGGCTTTTATTTTTCCATGGTTAATTCTCAAGGCAGTAATTGAACTTTTCAGACTGTTAGCATGTTTCTGTTCCAAAATTTCTCAGTCACTCGAGGGATACTAGTTTCCACACCAAGGATTGCCTCCACATAGAAGGGCTAAGCGGAACAGGGGCAAAAGAAACAGGAAGGCAAGAAGGCAATTACATTAACATACAATTTAAATGATTCTACAGTGCTGCCTGTCATTACTACTTGCAAAGGTTAATGCCAGAGCGCCTGGGTTACCCATGACTTTCTTTTCATCCTCAGTATGCCTCTTCTCCATTAGCAGCGATAATTGGGTTAGCCATAGGTGACTATTTCCCTGTGATAGTTAGATGGAGCCGTTAGATTAAGGGGAAATATATTTAACACAAGAGAGAACAAAAGCATTTCTCCAAGTGCTCTTCTCTCTCTTTGTATGTTGTTAAGGCAAATGCTTACTTAAGCACTTCTACTCCAATGGGCTTAAGCAATTCCCCCCCCCCCCCCATAAATTCAAGGTCGTGAATAAATTAAGGTTATAAATGAGGATTTTTAAAAAAAAATAAGAAAAGCATTTTTTAATTGTACTTTAGACCATAAATGTGCAGCATTTTTGTTTGCTCCCAACAAACTATGGGGCATACCACTTTTTGCTTTTCCTCTTTTTTCTCTTCTTGTTTTCTCACAGATAATGGGAACCTCAAGTAAAAAGTGAAATTCCTACAACTGAATAGTGGGGGAAGCAGTGTCTTCCTTGCACCTCGGAAAGCCTGCCAAGCAGATGTTCTTTTCAGGAGGCTAATGGATTTAAAGAGGTCAGGCAGATTAGGGATAAAGAATAAATCAATTCTGAAGTACAGTAATTGCCCAGATTTGAAATTATGCTTTCCAGGGCAGAAGTGACCAGTTGAAACCTAACATTATCTATAGTTTTCACAAACAGGCCGCCCAGACCAGGGAGAACGCTTTTCTCTTGGGAAAAAAGTAGGATAACACAATTGCTTGCTTCACTTTAAATTGTATCCTGTAGCTGATTTGTTTTATTCTCCCAAATTTACATCTCCATCTTTATTAATGTTTTTCAATTTGGATAAAAACAAAAATATAGCTTTTGGTTAACTCTAGATACATTTCCTAGATATAGATTCATCAAAGACTAAACTTCAAAATTTGAAAGGGAAAATGCCTTGTCAGAATCAAGAGAAAAGAATTCTGAGCACTGCAGGGAATACAGAGGGATATGTAATCAGTGAAGAGACCATTCTCTGGTCATTTCCAGAGCATTCTCAGCATAGGGAGAGGGCGGAGGAGTGGAGAAGTCCCCATTATTATTTTTAAATGATTCACGGCTGCGTGAATTTTTATTATCTAGTTCTCACTCTTGGAGAACCCCACAGGCTACCAGGAGTATCCTGCCCGCATGGCAAAGTCTGGCAAGCTCTCTGTGGCATATTCGACATGCCAAAACCTCGTACCAATGATGGGTCTCATTCCCCTGACCCTGAAAGAACCTCCAATGTGGCACTTGCTAAAATCTCAGGGCTAGGACAAATAGAGACGTTACTGGTGCCTGCTCGAGGAAATCTATTAACAATGGGATGACAGTGATACAGTGATTGCAGAACTCTTTCTATAAAGAGTCACTTGTTGGGAAGTTCAGAACAGACCAGAAGTTATGCCTTCTCTCCAATCCCTCCTGATGGTACACATGTCACCAGACTAGGAGAAAATAAGAAGGGGACGGAGTGTGTGACCATTTAATAACCATTTCTATAGTGTGATTCATTATAAACACCAGGTGCTGAAGGTAAAAACCAAATTAATTTTAATTAGCTTCTGAGTATCACACAGACACCTTCCACTCACACAGTTCAGAGTGATGGTAAATGCCTAGGAGGGTTGATTCCTGGGTCTAAGAGCTAAAAAATGTTAATACTTACGATCAAGAGGTACTTCCAGTGCACTAATCATCTGGCACAGAAAGAGAATCAGGGGCACTCTGCCTGCAGATAAGCACTTCCTTTTCGGCATTATTTTAAGCTGCATTAGCTTAATTCCTGCTGAGACTCACCAACCGAATTTCTTTTCTTCTTTCACAAAAGCTTTGTGTGCAACGTTTAAATAATTTTCATGCAGGGAGCTGAAAAGGGATAGGATAAGAATTATAATGTATTAAAAGCAGGAAATGAAGAATTGAAGTACACAGGACATAAAAGTATCAGTTCTCTATTATACATAATGGGAGTGGCCTTTTAAATATTTAATTCTTACGACTAGAATAATCATTTATTTATAGATCAACTAAAATCGGGTCCAAAATGTTTGTAATAGTGTCAAGCAAAATCTTTCCATTTTGCCATCCTTATAGTTCTTCCATCTTAAATACTGCATTTATATTAGTGTCCACCAGGTTACTATTGATTTCTTAACAGATCAGGAAAGTCTGGCTTCTAAATCTATTAGAAAGTGTAATTTTTAGAGGGGAGATCTAGTGTTTTTTCCATCCTAGAGATTTTTGTCTGGCAAAGTCCAGGGCACTGTTGCAAATCTGCTTTAAGCTCGAAACCACTGCAATCAACTAAATCACCTTCCCTTTCTCTCATCAGAACAGAGTTTGCTTGTTGGTGTCAGCAGGTGACAATCAGAGTCACCCTGCTGAATAGTGTTAATTAATTTTTTCTAAAGGATATTCAAATATCAGGAGTAACCATATGGGAGCAATTTACAAAATCAAATTGAATATATCATTAAAGTGGTGTTTTAAAAATCTCAGTGATCTGGCCTCAACTTAACATATTAACATTATCTTTTATTTCCCCGTATCTTTGTGTATGCTTGTTGATTTTTTTCTTGCATTATTCAATGTGCCCCAACTCTTTCACCTACTTGCCTTGGTTTATTCTATTTTACTTATTTACTGTATTTTCTTAGAAAATATCTAACTTATTTCTTTAGAAGTCAGTTAAAATTGATACATTAGCTAATCACTAAAATAGAAGCCATTTCATTCCTTAAGAATTTTTGAAATTCCTTGTAATCATTTTGTGTTTAATGCAACTTAAGATACTTTGGGGTGTATGCATGCTCTCTCCCTTTAAAAAGACTTTTCTTCCATCTTTGTGAATCTCTCCACCACCTGCTACAGTGATCCCTATACACAAGAGCACAGAACACAGAAGAGAGACTTCTCCCTAAACACAGAAGAAAGACTTCTCTCCAACAGCAAATGCCTACCTGAAATGACAGCTTTGATCATGATTTCCTTCTAATGGAGAAGGGTTAAGGTGACCAAAGATCTTTCATGAAGGTAGGAGGGGTACTATTATTAAAACCTCAGCAATTTCACAACTAAATGCCTGAAAAATTTGTTCAATTTTTATAATTTGTCTAAATGCATATATTAGTAATGTTAACCTTTCACACTAAACTGAAACTCTCCTCAGGAAAGGGTTGGCATTTTTAGCATTCCCCATTGTGATGCAGATCCTATCCCGGGGTGTGGTCTATAGTACAGAGCAAATAAATATTTGTACCAAAATATGGAGAAAAGGGAAAGGAACTGAACATTTAAGACCTTTGAAGATGAAGTTGTATCCAGATCAGCCAGCTAACCATGGTCTCTCTTAGGCTCTCTATATATTCTCATAGGCTCTTTGTATATTTATACTACTTGGTTTGAAAAACAAACTCCTGTCAATATGATAAAATTAGTTTTAATATCATGCCGTGTGTGTAATTGAGCTTATATGTATAAAGGGGAAATGAAATAATGCTGAGAACATGTGTTATGTGACTATAGCTGAATTCTGATTGGAATTTGATTAAAACTGTACTAAGAAAATTACTGCTAAACAAATATGAAGGAAGAACTCTGCTTGACAAATATCTGTAAAGATAGCTAATGTATTTTGCAAATAAAACATGTGCACTAAGAAGTTTCATTGAAGATGTAGGATTTCTCATATTTTATAATATATAAACTGCCATGTCCACTAAATACTGAGGAGCAGGTGTGGAAGGTCACCAACCCTTTCTAGCCAAACTGTAAATGTCTTTATGAGTACAAAGTTTATCACTATCATTTAATCAAATTTGTTAGGCTTTTTCATGATTTTTCTGTTGTGTTTTATGTAGGATTTTTCTGTTTTCTAATTTAGAATTTACAAATACACTTCAGGGGAAATAAATGGCAGTCACTGAACTAAAACAAGTTGATAAAAAGAAGCAGATAAACATGAGAAAAGAAGAGGCATGCCAACCTGATATACATGTTAAGTTACTTGTGTTTAAGTGCCCAGTTTCCTGAATGGTTGTTATAAGAACTAAAATACTTTCTAATATGTATTCTAAAGTGCATATGTATATAAAAATGTACTAATTACTGTAATGACTATAAGATCTTTAACAACCACAAATTTTTTGTTATAAACTTTTAATTTGTTCCCTAATGCCTTAAAATATTTATTCCCAAGAACAGAGAAAGCCTTCGGACAACTTCATGTAGAAGAAAGTATCGTTCAACCTGCTTCCGTTTTCAAGAGTTTACATGGGACAAAATGTGGCCTAATAAATTGGCTTCATAAGAAACAAAATTAAAAATTTAAGAAAATCTGAGAAAGTACTTACTTAAAAAGACGAGCCAATCCTCAAAATAAGCCATCATCCTGAAGTACAATAACTAAAAATGTTCTCTATCTTCAGCAGTTGTAAACTAACTGCACCAGTGACCCCCAAATTATCTTCAGTGTGGGTTGCTTGGGAAGGAGGGCAAAGTCGCATCCAGCCCATCCTCAAACCCTGCCCATGGAAAATCACTCACTCCTCCCTTCTATGTCATCATAACTGAAAAACCCAAAACCCAGTGCTGAAGGACAGCATTAGGTCCGCAACACTCAGCCAAACTGAGAAGCAGTTACAGGAAACAGCTTCTCTCTGGAGGAGAAATGCACATCTCACATCTCTCAGAGGAAAAACCACTGCTTCTGATTCTCAAGTCAGTGTCAACTCTGCAAGAAGCCCATCTGCCTCCAGTTTATATTGGAAGATGATGGCCATTCTCTAGGGTAAGAATCATGAACTGAACTAAATTGTTCATGCAATTACAGCAAAACAAATAAAACCCCATTTTGAGACAGCAGCATCAGGTTTAGTACAGTATACTGGTACAATAAAGTGTGCAATTTGCGATATTTGCCACAGACATTTCAAAGCATGCTTCAAGAAGACAGATGCTCACTTTATCTTTTGAATATATGTAAATGTAAAACACATGGATAGAATGGTCTTGAGTTGGGACGGGAGAGAGAGTATAGGGGGGTAAGGCATTTGCTAGCCCACAGCCACCCAGCACCACATATGCAATCCTCCAAGCACTGCCCAGAGTGATCCATGAGTGCAGAGCCAGGAGTAAGACCTGAACATTGCCAAGAGTGATCCCTGAGTGCAGAGTCAGCACTAAATACTGCCAGGTGTGACCAAAAAAAGGGGGGAGGGGCTTTAGAAATGATAGAGAGTAAAGATTTTTAGTATTTTAGTTTATTTACTCCATTCTCCATTCAAAATAATGTTTCACATATCTCCTCTGAAAAACAAAGGGAGGAAAATATGCTCTCTTCAGTAAACTTTTCATCATTATAAAAGAAACACAATTCAAGTTTCCTTTATCTCTCTGAATAAAATTAAATTAATATTAAAGAATAGAACAAATGCTCCCCTGCATTACTTACCATATGTTTTAATTTATTATTTTGTCTGGAGGGCACACTTGGAAATGCTCAGGGCTTATTTCTGGTTGCACATTTATGAATCATTCCTGGTGGTACTCAGGGAATCATATCTGGGTTGGCTGCATGTGAACCAAGCACTCCAACCACTATCTATCTCTCCAGTCCCTACTTAGCTGTCACTGTCACTGTCCTCCCATTGTTCATCGGTTTGCTTGAGTGTGCCCAGTAACGTCTCCATTGTGAGAATTGTTACTGTGTTTGGCATATCGAATATGTCACGGGTAGCTTGCCAGGCTTTTCCGTGAGGGCAAGATACTCTTGGTAGCTTGCCGTGCTCTTCCAGAGGGGAGGAGGAATCAAACTCACCATTAGAACAACTAGAAAACCACAAAAGAAGCTCAGAAAAAGGAAAGTGTGGTTGACTAATGAGTTTGTATGATCTCAAAGAACAAAGTAAATACCCAGAAGCACCATGTGACATTTTCCAATGTCCTTTCAGCCCAAGGGGATGTTTCATAGGAGAGTTTCTACAAGGAGTCTGGGAGGTAGAACCTGGAGTAGTGTCTAAGGAAAATAATTAACATGTGGTTTGTACTTAAATCATTGACAATAATAGATTAAATTTTGATACAGTTTGATGTTAGATATATCAAGTTCCCTTCCTCAAGAGTTTTAAACATGTCTTCTAATTTTATATTCATAAAGGCCACAAGAAACAGAAAAGCTGGTATGATAATCATATAATAGATGAGAAAAAAAGACACATGATGACTTCTATTTAGTTCCTCTGTGTTCCAGAGATCAGTTAGCTCTATACATTAACAGATGTTGTTGATCTTCCCAACAACTACAGAAGATAAATTCCATTGTTAACTAAGTTTTCTGATAAGGATCCTGAGATGCAGGATGGTAAAATACCCTAGTCAAGGGCACTGACACTCTCACACAGGGCATGTGAAAAGTCAAAGAGCTCCAGTTGTACGGAAAATTCTGGAGCTTTCCATCTTCTCTCACTGCCACACCCTGAGATGCCCTAGCTCATCCCTTCTCCCACTCTCTATTTTGCACATATATACTGAGTAACTAGATGGAGCGATAGTACAGTGGTAGGGCATTTGACTTGCATGCGGCCCGGGCCTGGCCAAACCAGGATCGATTCCTTGCCCCATTTGGAGAGCCTGGCAAGCTACCGAGAGTATCTCACCTGCACGGCAAAGCTTGGCAAGCTACCCTTGACATATTCAATATGCCAACACAGTAACAAGTCCCACAATGGAGACGTTACTGGGCATTCGAGCAAATTGATGAACAACAGGACAGTGTTACAGTTAAAAATATCAAACGGTGGGGCTGGAGCAATAGTACAATGGGTAGGGCGTTTGCCTTGCATGCGGCAGACTTGGGTTCGATTCCC